GACTGAAGCTGAGACTGAAGCTGCGACTGAAGCTGAGACTGAAGCTGCGACTGAAGCTGAGACTGAAGCTGCAACTGAAGCTGCGACGCGCCGCTCTCTGCATCAGAGTGAGATCTGAGGGTGGAGGAAGAAAACAGGACAACAACAGAACAGTCCTTTAATGTTTGTTTATTTATTGATTATTGATTTCTTTAAAAAGATCACAGATCAGATTTTAGACAGTTACTGACATGAGATCAATAACAGAGCGGTAACATCCTCTCTTCTCTCCTCCCCTCGTCTCCTCTGTCCTCCTCTCTTCTCTCCTCCCCTCGTCTCCTCTGTCCTCCTCTGTCCTCCTCTCTTCTCTCCTCCCCTCNCTGAAGCTGAGACTGAAGCTGCGACTGAAGCTGCGACTGAAGCTGAGACTGAAGCTGCGACTGAAGCTGAGACTGAAGCTGCGACTGAAGCTGAGACTGAAGCTGCAACTGAAGCTGCGACGCGCCGCTCTCTGCATCAGAGTGAGATCTGAGGGTGGAGGAAGAAAACAGGACAACAACAGAACAGTCCTTTAATGTTTGTTTATTTATTGATAATTGATTTCTTTAAAAAGATCACAGATCAGATTTTAGACAGTTACTGACACGAGATCAATAACAGAGCGGTAACATCCTCTCTTCTCTCCTCCCCTCGTCTCCTCTGTCCTCCTCTGTCCTCCTCTCTTCTCTCCTCCCCTCGTCTTCTCTGTCCTCCTCTGTCCTCCTCTCTTCTCTCCTCCCCTCGTCTCCTCTGTCCTCCTCAGGTGAACTATGGACGCCTCCTGGTTCCTCCTGGTTCTGTCGGTTGCCATCCTCGTCTCCATGGTGCTGCTGGTCGTCGTCTGTCTGGACTGCTGGAACAAAGGCCCTCTGGGTGAGACGGAGGTTCACACAGACAGGAGGAGGGAGGTGTTTACAAACATGTGTTAATATCATCAACAAAAAACAACAACAACAACAACAACATGAAGCAAACGTGTGTGAAGATTTGTGGGTAATTTACACAAATAAAAACAACAGGACTTGAATAAATATCAGTATTTAACATGCAGGTTCACAGTTCTTCTGCAGCTGTTACAGACTGACGTCACACGTCTGTGTGTTTGGAGTTTCCACACAAAACTTGTGCTGCGTTTAAGTGCTGGGGGAAAACTCGGACTTCTGGCTTCTCAGTGTGTTCATTTCAAAATGGGGGAAAAAAGATGACAAGCTTGTCACAATACGAATACACAATAATTAATTAACTATGTTTACATGGAATATTAAAGTGTCAACACTTTAGATATTTATCTGTATAATATCTATATTATCAATATCTATAACATGCATTAAATGTTAATACGGATATTTATTCAAGTTGTGTGGTTTTTTTATTTGTATGAATTACCCACAAATCTTCACACACATTTTCTTCATTGTGTTGATGACCTAACATCCTGTGGTTTTTAAACCAGATTCATACCAACGAGTCACAAACACACACACACACACACACACACACACACTCTGCTGATGATTATAAAGTGATGTTTTCTGTGTCCTCCGCCGTCCTCCAGTCTCCATCAGACAGACGAACGCTTCAGAGGAATACATGCAGTGAGTCCTGACAGGATCATATTCTCTCTCTGTTTTAATCTCTCTGTTTTATATGAAGTTAAACTCTGTGTCTGTTTCTTTCTTTCACTCAGATCCACTGAATTCAGAGTCATCCATCCATGTAAGTCTGAAAACATCCAACATGGCTGACACAGGTCAATAAAGCTTGTTTGTGTTGGAGGTTTGGTTTGAAGGCTCGAGGTCAGTGCTGCTCCACAGACTCTGAACTGTCCCCAGTTCATCTTATAATTCACTTATTTATTCTTTTTCATGGATTCTTATATGATAATTAATAAAATACATCTTTATTTAAAACACTTTATACAAACAGATGCTTCACAAAAGAGATGAAATATACAAAACGAGTTGGCATGCTGACACACTAAATTAAAACACTGACTTTAATGATAAATGACACATAAATGAACAATAAAATAAATAATATAAATAATATATTTGTTCATGATGTAATAACTTTAAACATAAGGATTTTCTACTCGAACAAGGGTCACATCTTTAAAATAACACAACCTGAAGAGTTTCTATTGGCGGCACATTATCTACCATTAACGCAAATTATCTGTGTGACTTTTTTGTCTTGTGAATTTCAGTAATTATTCAGAATAGCTCACTGTGATTGGCTCAGAGTGATGAGCGCTGAGAGTGGGATGTGATTTATATTCACCTTTACTCATCTACTGCACACCAGCTGATTCCTCTGATTTTCCCAGAAGAAAATGAATATGATAATAAAAATAAAATACTCAACATCCCAATTTACATTTGTCTGTTAGTTTAAAGAACAAGAGGATGTAAGTGTCTCATGACGGCTGACCTCATGATACTGAGGATGAGGATGAGGATGAGGATGATGATGATGACAGTGACTCTTTCTCTGTCGACTTGCAGTGCACCCAGGCAGTGATCTGAACTCCATCCGCTCTGGCCCCCACCTGCTGTCACCACCAAGAGTCCTGTGAGTCACTGTTTATAAACCAAACACACACACACCTGGCTCACACCTGTCAAACACGAGGCCTTCATCAGCACCACAGCTGACTGCAAACAGATCAATAATCAGTAAGGTTTTTTCTTTGTTCATGAGGAGGAATGAATACCAAGTTTTTATACATATATATATATATGTATACAGTATAATATAGAAACAGGGATGAAATAAAAGGAAACTGTCTGAGATGGAAACAAAATTCAGCTGCTGGTCGACGAGGAACATCAGAGAAATCAGATAATGAGAAGCTCGTTCCACAGTGACGAGTTCAGAGAGTGAAGATGTTCACACAGACTGTGAATCGAAAGTCACATTTATTCTCGTGTTTGCACATTTTAATAAAACAAAAAAATTGATGTAAGATAATGTTAAAAAGCAGATAATCAATTAAAACATCTTCATTCTTAATTATACTGCTTCAAATAATGTATAATTATTGTTATTATAAGCAATAGCAGTACCAGTAGTAGTATCAAGGGCACAGGTTTGGTCTGAACTTTGGTAGGGACGTAACAACCCCGCCACCCCTCAAAACAAAGAGATTGACGTAACCTTGACACTAACCCAACCAAACGATTTATTAACATATAAGATTTGAATTTACTTTCAGAAATGACCACACGCAAATGTAACATATGCACATGTATTAAATTTCCATATATGAACTATATGAACATATGAAATAATTTATGTATATACTATATATATGTATATATGTGGAAATTACATATGGAAATTGGAACAATATCATTTATTGACATATATATCTTGCTAATAGAAACATGCATGTTTAGTATATGTTTATGTTATACACATACAGTACGTTACATAAATATATATTGATCCCAAAGCCTGTCAATATATGTTCACATTATATATGGAAATGTAAAAGATAGACATGTTATATGTCATATATAATGTATATGTCTTAAGTCATAGTATAATAAATTATGAAAAGGCATAAAATAGTCATAGAATGGTAAGGCATAAAATGTCATAATAACATAGTATAGTGAAACAAGAAAAAGTCATACTACATTAAGGCAAAAATCTCATACTATAGTAAGGCATAAAAAAGTCACAGTATAATAAGGCATAAAAACTCATAAGACAGTCATACTATAATAATGCAGAAAAGTCATACTGTATTAAGGCATAAAAATTCATAAAAGAAGTCATAAGGCATGTAAAGATCATAAAAAAGTCATACTACCATGTTGCAAAAAAGACATACTATATTAAAGCATAAAAAAGTAATAGTATAGTAAGGCAGAGAAGTCATAGTATAGTGAGTAATAAAACAGTCATAGTAAAGTAAGTCATTAAAAGTCATGCTATACCATAAAAATTCATTAAAGAAAAGTCATAGTATACTAGTCATGAAAAGAAAAAAAAAGTCAAAGTATAATACGTCAAAAAAGTCATTGTATAGTTAGGCATAAATAGTAATTCTATAGTAACACATAAGAAGTCATAATATAGTAAGTCATAAAACAGTCATATAGACTTATAGATAAAACAGAGTAAATACCATAAGGCAAAAAAGTAATTGTATATTTAAGCATAAAAAGTCATGAAAAGTCACACTACCATGTTGCAAAAAAGTCTTACTATATCAATGCATAAAAAAGTAATAGTATAGTAAGGCAAAAAAGTCATAGTAAATTCATAATATAGTCAGGCATAAAAAGTCATAAAAAAATCATAGTATAGTAAGGCAAAAAAGTCATTGTATAGTAAGGCATAAAATGACATACAATAGTAAGTCATGAAAAAGTAATAAAAAGGCCATAGTATAGTGAGGCATAAAAAGTCATAAAAAAGTCATAATAAAGTAAGGCATAAAAAGTCATAAAAAAGTCATAGTATAGTGAGGCAAAAAAAGTCATGCAATAGTAAGGCATAAAAAATCATAATATAGTAAGGCATAAAAAGTCATCGTATACTAAGGCATAAAAGGTCATAGTATAATAAGGCATAAAAAGTCATGAAAAAGTCATAATAAAGTAAGGCATAAAAAGTCATCGAATACGAAGGCATAAAAAGTCATAGTATAATAAGGCATAAAAAGTCATGAAAAAGTCATAATAAAGTAAGGCATAAAAAGTCATAAGAAAGTCATAATATAGTAAAGCATGAAAAGTCATTAAAAGTCATTGTGTACTAAGGCATAAAAAGTCATATAAAAGTCACAGTATAGTGAGGCATGAAAAGTCATTGTATACTAAGGCATTAAAAGTCATAAAAAAGTCATAGTATAGTAAGGCATAAAAAGTCATAAAAAAGTCATAGTATAGTAAGGCATAAAAAGTCATGCAATAGTAAGGCATAAAAAATCATAGTATAATAAGGCATAAAAAGTCATCGTATACTAAGGCATAAAAAGTCATAGTATAATAAGGCATAAAAAGTAATGAAAAAGTCATAATAAAGTAAGGCATAAAAAGTCATAAAAAAGTCATAATATAGTAAAGCATGAAAAGTCATTAAAAGTCATCGTGTATTANCATAGTATAGTAAGGCATAAAAAGCATAAAAAAAGTCATAATAAAGTAAGGCATAAAAAGTCATAAAAAAGTCATAGTATAGTGAGTCAAAAAAAGTCATGCAATAGTAAGGCATAAAAAGTCAGTATAGTAAGGCATAAAAAGTCATCGTATACTAAGGCATGAAAAGTCAGTATAATAAGGCATAAAAAGGCATAAAAAGTCATACTAAAGTGAGGCATAAAAAGTCATAAAAAAGTCATAGTATAGTAAGGCAAAAGAGCCATTGTATACTAAGGCATAAAAAGTCATAAAAAAGTCACAGTATAGTGACGCATAAAAAGTCATTGTAAATTAGCATGAAAAGTCATGAAAAAGTCATAGTATAGTAAGGCAAAAAATTCATTGTATACTAAGGCATAAAAAGTCATTGTATACTAAGGCATAAAAAGTCATAAAAAAGTCACAAAGTCATCCTATAGCGAGTCAAAAAACTCATAGTATAGCGAGTCAAAAAAGTCATAGTATAGTGAGGCAAAAAAGTCATTATATAGTAAGTCATTAAAAAGTAATAAAAAGGTCATAGTAGAGTAAGGTAAAAAAAGTCATTGTATACTAAGGCATAAAAAGTCATAAAAAGTCATAAAGTAAAGCATAAAAAGTAATAAAAACGTCATAAAAAGTCACAAAGTAAGGCATAAAAATTCATAAAAAAGTCAATGTAGTAAAGCATGAAAAGTCATTTAAAAAAGGCATTGTGTACTAAGGCATAAAAAGTCATGAAAAGTCATTGTGTGCCAAGGCATAAAAAGTCATAAAAAAGTCATAGTATAGTGAGGCAAAAAAAAGTCATGCAATAGTAAGGCAGAAAAAGTCATAAAAAAAGTCATAGTATAGTAAGGCATGAAAAGTCATAGTATAGTAAGGCATAAAAAGTCCGAAAAAAGTCATAATAAAGTAAGGCATAAAAAGTCATAAAAAAAAGTCATAGTATAGTAAGGCATGAAAAGTCATAGTATAGTAAGGCATAAAAAGTCATAAAAAAGTCATAGTATCGTGAGGCAAAAAAAGTCATGCGATAGTAAAGCATAAAAACTCATAAAAAAGTCAAAGTATAGTAAGGCATGAAAAGTCACAAAAAAGTCATTGTATACTAAGGCTTAAAAAGTCATAGTATAGTAAGGCATAAAAAGTCAGAAAAAAGTCATAATAAAGTAAGGCATAAAAAGTCATAAGAAAGTCATGCTTAAAGTAAGGCATAAAAAGTCATAAAACAAAGTCATAGTATAGTAAGGCATGAAAAGTCATGCGATAGTAAGGCATAAAAAGTCATCGTATACTAAGGCATTAAAAGTCATATTATAATAAGGCATAAAAAGGCATAAAAAGTCATACTAAAGTAAGGCATAAAAAGTCATAAAAAAGTCATAGTATAGTGAGGCAAAAAAAAGTCATGCAATAGTAAGGCATAAAAAGTCATAAAAAAAAGTCATAGTATAGTAATGCATGAAAAGTCATAGTATATTAAGGCATAAAAAGTCCGAAAAAAGTCATAATAAAATAAGGCATAAAAAGTCATAAAAAAGTCACAGTATAATAAGGCATAAAAAGTCATAAAAAAGTCATAGTATCGTGAAGCAAAAAAAGTCATGCGATAGTAAGGCATAAAAAGTCATAAAAAAGTCATAGTATAGTAAGGCATGAAAAGTCATAAAAAAGTCATCGTATACTAAGGCTTAAAAAGTCATAGTATAGTAAGGCATAAAAAATCATAAAAAAGTCATAGTATAGTAAGGCATAAAAAGTCATAAAAAGTCATAGTATAGTGAGGCAAGAAAGTCATGCAATAGTAAGGCATAAAAAGTCATAGTATAGTAAGGCATAAAAAATCATAAAAAAGTCATCGTATACTAAGGCTTAAAAAGTCATCTGAGTTGGAGCAGCAGGTGAGTTGCTTGGCATGAAAAGTCACAAAAAGTCATCGTATACTAAGGCTTAAAAAGTCATCTGAGTTGGAGCAGCAGGTGAGTTGCTTGGCATGAAAAGTCACAAAAAGTCATCGTATACTAAGGCTTAAAAAGTCATCTGAGTTGGAGCAGCAGGTGAGTTGCTTGGCATGAAAAGTCACAAAAAGTCATCGTATACTAAGGCTTAAAAAGTCATCTGAGTTGGAGCAGCAGGTGAGTTGCTTGGCATGAAAAGTCACAAAAAGTCATCGTATACTAAGGCTTAAAAAGTCATCTGAGTTGGAGCAGCAGGTGAGTTGCTTGGCATGAAAAGTCACAAAAAGTCATCGTATACTAAGGCTTAAAAAGTCATCTGAGTTGGAGCAGCAGGTGAGTTGCTTGGCATGAAAAGTCACAAAAAGTCATCGTATACTAAGGCTTAAAAAGTCATCTGAGTTGGAGCAGCAGGTGAGTTGCTTGGCATGAAAAGTCACAAAAAGTCATCGTATACTAAGGCTTAAAAAGTCATCTGAGT